ATATCAAGACCTTATACAGCTTTCTATGAAATTTAGAGGCTCCAAGAAAAAGATCTGGACCTCACTGGCAACAACTGTTAACTCCAATAACATATCAAGTTAATAAACAAAAACCACTGTACACTTTGGTTTTCCAAATATGGGATAACTGGTTTCCCTCTTACTATTTTTTCTACACTTCCATAATCACTAGTATAAAAATTATAACAACAGTGTAAACAATCAAGGGGAATAAATATTTGAAGTGCAGGAAATTAGAACAAATCAACCTACAGAAATTTCAATCATAGGCTGAGACAAGAATCAGGCTCAAAGGTCAATCAAAAAATTTTCTAACTATCCTTCTTATTTGAAGTGACCCTTTTTACTGTGTACACCTGGAAATGCACATGAACTAAAGGAAGACTCTCCCCATGTATACACAGTTAGAGCAAAATAGACCTGCTGACAAAATAAATAGCTACCTTCAAACAAGCTGTTGGGGAGGTTTCCAAGCTTTTCCTAATGGCTCCATCTCCAGATGGAATCAGACTTGATTTATTAAGAAAGGTCCCATGGCTGGTAAGCATTCTTCTAAATTATATAATAATCATAAAATATTAATAAACCTTCCTGGGTAAGTAGAAAATGGACTAGGAGGAATAACTAAAAATGGCTGCCTCAAATGATTACTTTAATTGTCCAAGGAAATACGTTTAATGAAAACAGTACCTGTACTTTGGTTACAACTGCTAGTCCTACTCTTTATCGTTATGAGATCGTCCTTCCCTCATAAGTTATCACAGCCTAAAGCCCATACTCCAAGCTACCCAGTCAGTCCAGGAAAAATGTCAGCCAGAGGATCCTGCAAGTGAAAGGGAACAGAGGATGTTCCAGCCAGAGCTCATGGGAAGGTGCTGGGCAGCAGGAACAACATTTCCCAAGTCTAAAAGGTGGCAGAGATCCTGCAAAGCAGCTTCTTTGGCTCTGGTTGTCACAGACTAAAGATCTCAACTGGGCTTAGCACTGATCCCAGTGCCCTTCCTGACCCTTTGCTACATCCAGATGTTATCTTCCATCAAACTCTAAAATCCAGCCAAGCTTTCCAATGGTAACCATGACCAAATCCACTGTGCTCTTGACTAATGAGCACTGTCAGCACTCAGTGCCTCCTCACCAGATTTGGCAAGGGTGACCCCAACCACACCACACTGGGGTGAATGAATAATAAGACATGGAACAGAGTGAAGCCAAAAATTTCAAAGACTCCAAGTAAGAGCTATGATGGGCTTGGAGATTTGGTTATAGAGAGAAGAGGCAATACATATCTGATTTCCCGAGGCACGGTGCCTTGGATTATTTCATTAGACAAATCTTGCCTTTAAAGCTTGCTCGCATGTACCCTGTCCACATCTCCTGTTAGTTTGGTACAATGGCTGTTGACTTAAGACTGATTTTTGTCCCCATTTTGTCAGATTCACACCACAGACAAAATCAGTTCCATTAATTATGCATAGATAAGAAACCCAAGTTTTTCCTTACTTTGAAACAATCAAGCAGACAAGGCACAAACAGCACAAAGGAGAAGTGATGGAAGAGGTCCAACTTCCTGTGGTAATTGTGTTTGCACTTCCCTTATGATGCATTAGCCATAGAAAGTTCTCCTTAAAGAGAAACGGGAGAGGACAGCAAAACCCTCACAAAACCCTAACATGATTATACCCCAATTTCTATTCCAAAGTTGGTGATGATGATAATAATAAATCGATTTCATTTCCTCTGTGCTACAAATTCAGTGAAGAATGGAGCTTCATAAATGGCTGCTTAAAAATACCACTTATAGAACTAACCCTGAAAAAGAATTCAGAAGCAGAATCCAAATTTCCAGACTCTAGCAACAATTAAGCAAGAAATGGGGCCCTGGGATGCTGGGGAGAGAGGGAATACTTTCCAGAGTCCTCAGTGACCTTTCTCCTCCTCACAACCTCTGGGAGGATCCCAGTGACACTTTATAGGCCCCAAAGGGGCTGCATCCAGCTGTTCTTAGTCGAAAGGGAGCCAGTTCTATAGAAACAGCAGCAGGGAATGCCCGCCATAAGATGAAAGGGGGAGGGTTCGCAAGATCCTCTTCATCCATTCTCTTCCCTCAGAGAAAGGCCTAAAGTAGGAGAAATGTATGCAAGCACTCATACCTTAGCTTTGAACTCTCGTCTGGGATGTTCTAAGGCAAAGGTTATAAAGCCACTCTTAAATTCCCCAGCTTGTTCAAGGCTGCACTCCCCTCACTGCTAGATGTTTCCCTTCCAGCAGAAGCTGTCTGTCAATCCTGAACAGTGTGTTGGGTCCCCATTAATGGGGAATTTGAACATTTGCTGCAGTTCCCACTAGACACAGGGCTGCTAGGACATGAAAACTTCCTAGCAAAACACTCCACAAATTCGCTTCTCAATGGTATAACATATAACTGAGTAAGGAGCGTATCTTCAGGTTGAGCCACGTGTTAAAGTCACTGTGCAGAAAGTGGCAGCTCACTAGGTAAATGCTTAAGCCTTGGCAGCACCAGGCTGTCCCAAGTCTGTCCTGTTACCTTCATTAGCAACACATGTCTGGGTTGAACCTCTCCTCTGACTCACAATCACACTGAAGAGTTAAACAAGAGACTGGATTAGAACATTCCTCATGGCTGTTGCCTATTAAGGTTAACAACGAGAATAAAATAAAGATTATTTTTAGAGATTTACAGAAACAAACATGACAAAATAAAATGAATTTTTGCCTTCTCATCTAACATAAAACACCACACACACACACACAACTTCTATTCCTCTTCTCTGTTTCATTTATTCTCTTGGGCACTTAGACTAGCTAACCATGATATATTTTTCCCATGTGTCTTGTAACTCCTAGGGCAGAGTCAGGCTCTATGAAACAGGGATTTTTAATCCTCGTCAGTCCTGTATTCTATGAGTCCAGAACAGCACACTAGCATACACCAGTAGGGGCTCAATAAATGTATTCTGGAACATTAAGAATCAAAATATCTGGACCCAGAAGGCTATGGTGGAGCATTCCTGCAATCCCAGCCCTCAGGAGGCTGAGGCAAAAGGATTGGGAGTTCAAGGCCATCCTGGGCTATAGTATAGTAAGACCATGGCTCAAAAAACTGTAGACCTTCTGTTTTTGAAAACAATGTTTGGAGAAGATAAATCACAATGTAAGCATATTAAGGCCCTATTTCAACTGCCTTGTCCATAAACTACACAATGCTAAAAATGAGATTTCTACAAATTAATGAAGTTGGTGTGGACATGAAGAAAAAAAAATCACCGATTCCATTTTGTGGAATTTTTTTTGCAGCATTTTTAGTTTTAGATTATTCATTATAAAAAAACTGCAGTTTTTAATAAATATTAAATACTAAAGAAAATTACAGAATATCAAAGGAGTTGGAACCCTGAGTCCTAACAGGCTGGAAAAGGAATGATTTAAGGAGCAAATACAAGACGGGAAACCCAAATACAACTTTTTTCTTTAAATGTAATCAGAAGAATTTTTCTTCTTTTGTTTTATGGTGGTTTTATTGCTGTTTTATGAAACAGGATCTCCCCATGCATCCCTGACTATCCTGGATACAGATGGCCTGGAGACTCCTGGCTGAGCCTCAGAGTGCTGGGATTACAAGCATGTACCACCATGCCTGGCAAAGCAGCATTTGTTCTTTTTTTAAAAAAATCATTCAAATATCCTGGCTGACTTTCTAGATCTCTTCGTAAGAGTTTATATTTTCACAAATGCCATTAAAGTTGACTCTGACCAAAATATTAAACTATAGAAAAACATATGTTTTAAACTGAGGATGCATATATTGACTAAGTTCTCAAATTTTTCGACTGTCCAAACAATTGTATTCCCTATAACTGAGTCAAACTAAAGTGTAAACTAAAATTCTTTTAAAATCTTAAGACTCAGGTCTCGGGATGTAGCTCAGTGACAGAGTGCTTGTCTAGCATGTGTAAGGGCCTAGGTTCCATATCCAGCATGACAGAAAAAAAGAAGAAAAAATCTTGAAGCCCAAAAGGTATTTGCTACCCTCAAAACATTTCCCCATACCCAGGAGATCCCATTTACATACAAAAGAAACATCAACTTTTCATGTCATATTTTAATTGAAAGCTGTGCTGACCTTTCAATAGGAGAATAAATGAGGCACAAAAGAGGAAGAGTGTGTGTGTGTGTGTGTGTGTGTGTGTGTGTGTGTGTTGGCATTTTATGTAGGGTAAGAAGGCACACATTCACTCTTTTCTGTCATGTTCCTTTCTGTAAGTCTCTGAAAATAACCATTTTTTTATTTTCACCGTTACCCTTAGCAGGCAATATCCAGTCTCTTGTCTAAGTCTTCAGTCTGACTGTAAGTTCAGCCCAGACGCTCACTGCTAACAAGCTAACAGAACAGACTAGCGATGGCCTTGTGACGCCTTCCCACTGTCCCCTCTCAGACACCTAAAATATATGGTTGTCCTACTTGTTCTGGCTAGAAACTGAGAGAAGTGCCCCTACCTATATAACACAGTCTATTTATCAAACTGCATTCTGTGGCTACCAGAATATCACTTACTGTCCCTTATCCATCCTATCAGAAGACCAGGGCAAAGCAAAGAGAACACTCTCGGGAACAACGATCATTTTAATACTGGATTTATTTCACATGTTTAAATTATGTTAATACTTTCTCCCAAAGCAATCAATGGAATATTCGTTGAATACGGAACAATACACACACTAGGAGAGAAGAAGAATACATACACAGGTTAATTTTATATACATACTAATTTTGCATATATATAAAATTAGTTCATGATCTAAATATCCTGTGATTTAATCATGTACAGGATAAACACACAAGTTATACATAAACATAAAACCAAGAATTCAAATCTATTATGAAGTATCCAGAAAACCAAAATGATCCAAGAAGAATTACGCTGAAACTAACAGCCGCAATGGTGTAGACTAACACTTACATCAACGGGAGAACAAAGGTCATCTATTTTTAAATGGCCATTGTGTTTCCTTATTTCCATGAGGGCAGCAGATCCTGACTTCTGGGTAGTCTCTGGCTCCGAGGGCCTGCCTGGCTCTGACCCCATCTTGGACGGACCACAGGCTTCTGCTGCCCTCTTGCTCTGGATGGTTTGCCTGAAATGAACTGCTGTTCCTTCCTGACTTCTAGCTTCTGTGACTTCCGGAGTCAACAAGTTCTGTGTCCCGGTTCCAACATCTGTCTTGGTTTTCCTGGTCCTGATTAATCACAATGCTGCCATAATCCACAAACACCCAGGCCAGAATCTTGAGCAGAACATTCTGGAACAGCAGCACAGAGGATTTACCAAAATCCCCACTCCCGCATTCAGGTGTGGGTTGAGTTACAGTGCATGACTGTGCAGCACTGATACATAACAAACTCATCACTCATGATGATTACTATACTACCCTGAACAACTTTTCCTAAAGATAGTAGAAAATGTTTCAAATTACATAGAATCTCCAAATCCCCAAGATCTTCCTGTGTGCAAGACAATGGGGGGAAGAGAGCTCTTACATATGAGAAGAATAGGTAAATATCAGATAGATTTCCCTATGGGTGAAAATATAGGAGGGAACTAATCTTAATTATATTTTGAATACAATAGGTTTTTAGAGTAAAAGAATCCAAGAAGTAATATAAGTAATTTTCTGAGGACATGTGACTAAAGCATCATTTGGTTCAAACTGTGGTGGAGACTACTCTTCACCCTTTAGTGTTCTCCATCAGAGCACATGACTGTCCACTAGTCAGCTTATTTTCCAGTCTCCCTTAGAACCAGCTGGCCATATTACAAAGATCTGGCCACAGGGAGGGCAGTCTAAGTGATGTGTGTAATTTATGGGTCACCTCATTAAAGGGAATTCTTGCCATCCATTTTATGTCCCTCCTCCCATTCCCCAGGTCTGGGATGTAAAGGAATACTGGCAAACTGGCTTCAATCAGGAAGACAAGAACAACAACCTGGTGTGTGGGTTCCCCCATCTTTTCTGCACATTGGAACCTCCTGGAGAAACTATGGAAATACCTAGGGATGGACTCATTTAATTAGCCTCAGGCAATGATCGGGTAGCAATAAGACAGGAGGAACCCAGGGCTCTGATGACGTGATGCAGCTGAGCTTTTTCGTGCCTTAGAAGACTGCTGGACAATACTGTCCAAAAATTAAATGACCAGAGCTCCAAAAGAGGATGCAAAAAAAGGTCAGGAGCTGGTGACTCATGCCTGTAATCCTAGCTACTCAGGAAGAAGAGAGCAGGAGGATTGTGGTTCGAAGCCAGCCTGGGCAAAAAATAAGACCTCATCTCAAAAATATTCAACATAAAAAACAAAGCTGACAAGATGGCTCAAGTGGTCAGAGCATCTACCTAGCAAGTGTGAGGCCCTGAGTTCAAACCCCAATACCACCAAAATATAAAAAGGCCAAGTTGATATCTACAATTTTCTTATTCACAAACCCTCCTACCCTGATCTGTTTTGTATTTTTATTGTTGTACTGAGCATACTGGGTGACATTTACAAGCTCTTACAATATACTGTTGAATTCACCCTCTCCAGCGTTTGCTTTTATCCGTTCTCCTCCATTCTTGGAATAGTTTCAACAGGTCTCATTTTTCCATTTAACATACATGAGTACAAAGTTGTTATTTAGTCTCAGTTAAAGCAGCTGACCAAGTATCCTTACAAACTCACGTAATAAACACAAAAATTATGATCTTCTCAAAAAGAAAGGATATGTAAGTACAGTTTAAAAAATACTGTCTTTTTTCTAAAAAAAAAAAAACTGAAGTATACCTGTAGCAACTAAAGCACAGTACACTTTTAGTATCTGGGAAAATCATGGCTGAGCTAAAGAAGATCATGAAAGAAAAGCTAACAATAATGTAAAAGTATTCATTTTGACAAGACAAAGAGAAAAATATATTAAGCCTACATAATTATTACAAAGAAATAAATTAATTGAATAAGTCAGTAAGAATATGAAACCAGAATGTGATGATTGTATGGTGGTTAAATAAATACTGATTTTTCTTGGGTCATATGCTAAGGGGAGAGCACATACAGGAGGAATGGGGATAGGTAGAAAACCCAAAACTTGAAAGTATTTGATGTCCCCAGTGCAGAGGAGCTAATACAGTAATCTTAAAGTGTCCGAGGTTAGTATGGGAAGGTGACCAGGAAGTAGTGAAGAGGTCAGGTAGAGATGAATCAGTTCAGGTTGTAATACACTTGTGCGTGGAAGCAATGCTAGGAATCTCTCTGTATAGCTATCCTTATCTGAACTAGCAAAAACGCTTTGTCTTTCTTATTATTGCTTATGTTTTCTCTTTAACAAAATTGGAGAAAAAGGCAGAACAGGTTCTGCCTTGAAGCGAAGAGGGAAGGAGGAAAGGGGGGGACAAAAGGGAGAAATGGCCCAAATAATGTATGCATATATGAATATATGAATAAAGAGGGGGGAAAAAAGCACTGCAAAAAAATTAATAAATACTGATTTTCCTATAGGCCTATTTTAGATAGGGCAAAGATGAGACTAATATTTTAAGAAATGGTCTCTTATTTTCTAGCTCTATCACACTTAACATATGACTTCTATTTCATGGTTCAAAGTGGCTGCCCCATCTTTATTCCAGTCAGGGAGGAAGAGAAAAACAACAACAACAACAAAAATGCACACTCCATCATTATAAAGACACACTTCAGAGACTGCCCATGCTATTTTGCTCACATCCCCTACCTGAAATTGTACTTAGGGTCACAGTTATCTGTAAGGGAGGCTGGGAAATGAAACTAGTCTTATCCTATGGAGCTAAAACTTTTATCACTACACAAGAAGAGTGTCTATGTCTTTTTTTAAGACATGATCTCACTATGTAGACCCTCATCTGGTCTCAAACTCACATTCCTCCTGCCTCAACCTCCCAAGCGTTAGAAGGAAGGGCCTGCACCTCCATGCCTGGACTAGTGTCTGTTCTTTATAGAGGCAAAAGAAGTCTCTGCCAGAGATTTCAATATTAAAAAGTACAAGAAAAATTGAGATAAAGTGGTGTCTAGATACTCTAAATAAACTGTAAAAATATAAAACATAAAAATACAAATATATTTCTACCTAAAATATAAAAAATATTAAACTTATACAAACAAGCATGAATACATCACATACAAGTGAAAGCCCTTCTCACACCTCATAATTTACCTCTGAGACAATAATGAATTATTATTGTAACCTTAGAATATGGGGATGAGGGACTAACAGATGAATCAATAGAGCATAATAGACTTTATCCTTGTGCTTTGAATAAAAATAAAGCTTTGAAGCAGAAGGTGCCATTTTTGAAATCCCAACATCTCTTTCTTTGGGGCAACAGTTAAAAATAAGAAAAGCTGGAATTCCAAGAGAGCATGAAAATAAAGCCAAGTTGAGGCATTACAAGGCATTAAAGAAAACATCCACAGTTCTTCCACAAGCTCTAGAAATGTGTCACCATCTACAAAGCCTCTTCTACTGGCAAGAAGACAACTTAAAGAGATAATTGAAACAGCAAAAAATGGAAAGTAAAGTCAGATATCAAGTCTTATCTGACACTCAGAGAAACCAAGTGTTCAAATGAATAAAAAAGTTTACCCGACCATATTCCATGTTGCCATACTCTTCCTATAAACCCAGGGAATATTTTATATCAGTGTTCTAAATTTAACTAGCTTCAGTCATTTCTTAAGTATGATACAATCTAACCTTTTTCCAATGAAGGACTTGCTTTTTAATGGAAAATATGTACTTTGCATTAATGAGAAGACACAATGGCCTTGGCTTCGATGTCCTGCAACAAAATAGGTCCTTTTCTGTACATAATGCTGAGCTGTATGGTAAGGCTAGAATATAGCAAATTTATCCAAGGAATTAAAGTCTGAAGTCATTTATGCTACTCAGAATTATTTAAAAATCATAATCTTAATTTACTTATCAATTTTCTTGAAATTACAATCATTGAATTTTGGATAAAAAGCAAAACAGTTCATGAGAAAGAGGAAAATTTCATAAAACAAAAATTCTTATTAGGCAGGTCAAGCTTCAAATGATTATGCTCCATTCCACGAGAAAAGTGACTCAAATGCACTGTTAAGCAGTAAGACATCTCCAAACAGGTATGTTGTAGATCAAAGATTTTGATTTTAGTATAGCTATTACCATTCTAATAAATTAAATTTTTAATAAATTTTGTAAGACTTTTAATAAAGAATAGTAAAACTCCATCCATTATTAAAATTAAATATCATAACTAAGGTTTAAGAAGTAATGCTAAAACAATTTTTAGATCAAATTAATGTATCAAAACAGAGACACACAATTTCACTTGGTATTAATCTCAGGTATCTAGTAAAAGGACACTCAGCAAACCCAGACAAGTGCTGAGAAAAAATGTAATCACATCCAAATGTTATTCAATAAATCTGGGTCTTTTTTTTTTTTTTGGTGTCCACAATGACTGACATGCCCATTAAATGTAAAGTGCCAGTTCTCTACAACCTGTGCCATGATTCAGAAAACGATTGTCATTATTTCCAAGATAATCAATGTAATCAATCAAGAGTGTTTAGTTGTCTATTTTGACAATGTACATGTTGCATTTAAAAAAGTAGCATTTAAAAGAAAAATTGTATGAAGACAGTCATATATCTGATCGCAGATGTCCAAGTTCAATTTGCTTTTCTATTCTTGAATGTGCATGCTCCAAATCTTTGCTACTCTCTTCAGAGCACCTCACTCTCATCAAGAACAAACACCAAAACAAAAACAAAACAGAACAGACAGAAACCCAGAGTTCAACTTTGCAGAGAAATAGAGACTATCAGAAGGAGACCTTCACTTTCCCTGTCTCTTACCTTCCCTCTTCCCTTAAGAGGGAGAGAGAGGCCTTGCAAGAGCATCCTTTCAGCCAACAGGGCTGGAAGTCCAAGCCTTCCCCTGCACTCCCAGGAGGGCCCCAATCATGCCAGGACCTTTCTCTCTATTAAGCAGCCCCACTTAGACTTTCAGATTTGGAAAGAATGGTTCAGGAGCAA